AATTTCACTGTTCTTAATGAGACCATCACACACAGTTCCACTGACTTAACCAGCTGTTCACGAAATATAGAAGAGCGTATTTCTTGTTTCTAGGGGCAGGATTTTAAACACAACAGTCAATGAGCAATCAAAGTTGCCACAGGTAGTCTTGATCCTATCAAATACACATTCTTTGTCCTTCTAAGTGTAATGGATTTAACAAGTCTCAGCATAAAACTTGGGGGGGTAGAAAGAAGAAGAAAACCTAATCTCAGAAATATATAGGAAGCTGTCTTCCTGCCTGCTGTGCATCTGTCAGCAGGACATAAAAGAAGCTAATTTCAATCTAAACAATAACACAAGAGACTGGTCAGATGCTAAGTTAATGCCATTTGATACTTCCCACATTTTATTTATTACTAGGATCCAAATTTGTGGCACCTACATGCTCAGCACCAAAAAGCTCAAAATTATGAGCTTTTAAGCTGTTAGCAAAACCCCCATTTGGTTCCCAGTAATTTTCAGCTTTAAATGTTAAGATTTTTTGATTAGTTATTGCAGTAGAACTACAAACACAAGCATGAGTTTCAAGGTGTCGCAATGAAACACAATTCAGCAAATACACACCCTAACAGGTTGTTCAGAGAAGCTGTGGATGCCAGTTCCTGGAAGTCTTCAAGGCCAGGTGGAATGGAACTTTGAGAAACCTGGTCTAGTGGAAGGTGTCCCTGTCCATGCCTAGGGGGTTGAAACTAGATGGTCTTTAAAGGTCTCTTCCAACTCAAATAATTCCGTGATTCTATAAGCAATGCTAGGAAGTGGAAGCATGAAGTTTATTTTAACATGCGCAGCAAAGCTATTGCAAAACATGCTAAAATTTTTTAAATACTAAAGAAATACTAAATACTAAAATAGAAAATACTAAAATAGAAATACTAAAGAAGGAATGTTTCCTGTAAGAACTAAGTCTTTGGGAGTCTTGTGAATAACTTTAAGGAAGACCTTCAAGCAACCACTTAGGAAACACACATGATTTGGCTCCGACCTCTCCAACAGGTGTATCACAAGATTGCTCAGCAGACAGCTCTAAGGTTTGAAAGAGCAAGCAAGAAGTTTGAATAGACTACAGAACTGTAAAGGAGACAGTGGACTGAGGAGAGGTAAACAGACACAGCAATAACTGGTGGAGATTTTCCCAGCTGTAACAGGAGTGATGTGTGGTACTTGCTTGTTTTTCCTAGTCATGACAAAGGGACTCACCAGCTAACAACAAGCATGAGGCACACATGAATCAGAACCTACATTTCTGAGAAAACATCCACCAACAGAAAGAGGTAAGTGGAAAAATACGTTCAGAGTTATTTCAAAAAACCCATAGCATCTCAACAGCCCTCAGTAATTCTTAGTAGCACTGCACCTTCTCTCAAAGTCTTGCATGTCTGCACATGTGCAAGACTCAGCAGAGAAAGTCTCTCTGGAGTTATCTGGGATGATCACTGGAAGCTTAAGAGATTGCTAACGCTCGTAATGAAGACTTTTGGATGCAAACCTGTACCTGTTCCCTGATCAGGTTTGTTAGATATGCAAAGCTACTGCTGAACTCTAGGAGAGGGTGATAAGAAAGTTAGGGTCGTAAACAGATCACAGTTCCCTCCTAGAGATCAACACAGTTTCAGATCAGAATTATTTGAATAATTAAACTGTAATAATATCAACCCATGCTGTTATTTTATTCAAGTAAAAGGCATTGGCTTACAAATAATCTATTTGAAACACAGTATGGAATGACTTTGAATTATACCCATTTTCCACAGAAATGGCTTCTGGCACAGCCAGAGAGAGTCTTCAACGAATCTCACTTTTGTGCTGATTTGGTCAGGGATTGAAATGGGGGGGGGGGAAGAGTTACTAAGCAACAGCAGGCCAGGAGCAGGAGAAAGGTCTGTAGTCTTAATTGATACTAACATTAAAAAGCAGTGCAACAAGAGAAAGCTCAAGATGAGAGTTTTACTGCTTTGGAAGTGAAATAATTCATCATTAGAAACCCCAGGCAGGCAATCACTGAAATCCGAGTTTTTCATTCATCCCAACTACATGCTGCACGATGTACTGCAAACCCTTTTTTTGCAGGGAGATTAAGTAGTTTATTCTCAGTAGTGAACAAGATGAAGGACCCAGATATAGCTCTTACATATGAGAGCCCAGGACACATACATAGTTTTCTCTCTACTCCTACCTCAGGAAAGGGGAATGTGGTGTAAATTACTGCTAAACGGGTCCCCAAGACATTGCCATCCACAGAACTGACATCATGTGCAGATATAGCTCTTCCTCCTCCACACTATCTATGGTTAAGAGGGTTGTGACTTTTCTAGAAAGCCAGCCCGAAGCCCAGTCTCCAGACCCCTCGGACAAGGCAAAGAAATTTGCTTAGCTAAATCTGTATTAATATGATCAAGCAAGCCAGAAATACTGACAGTTTCCTTCCAGAATTCGTATCTATTTCCTCTTCTACTGTAAGCAAAGTAGTTTCATGAGGATGTGATAACAGAACATGAGTTATCACATGAATACTTAAAAATTCAAATGAAAAAGCCCTTGATGTGGAAAGTGCTGTGAACCCTACTACTGAACAATCAACCTTTATTTGCCTAGCCAGCAGTACCTCAAGCAGAAGTTATTTGCTTTAACTTCACCTGAAGAAAATCTGATTCCTGACTAACTACTGGCTTTTTTATAAGATTCAAATTATTAAGTTTTGCTCTGTTTTTTTTTTTTTTTAGGAATCAAACATGTAAAAAACCACACAAACACAAACCTGAGTACCTCAAACTACTGAGCATTCTGAATTATTATCTCTTCCCATTTCTGCGTTCTTTGACTCTGCACTTATTTAAGTACACTAGATTTCAGCATTTACTGGTTTTCCCACATACTCCAATGTACTTAAAGTGACTAAAATGAAACCACAAGAGGGAAAACTACTAGGATGACTGTTGCTGAGGAGGAAAAACCAGCAACCCAGGTCTGGTTCACTCAAACTGTCTGATGATTCGTATTTAAAGTGTTGAGAGTTAAGAGTCATCTTCTGCCCTGATTTGTCCTGGTGCAAGTCAGCTGAGCTTACAAAATAGGATCTGGTACCATGAAGAGGACTGTCCCCTCACAGGATACGAGTAATGGCCACTTGAGTAAATGTAAGTTACTCACATCCTGCTAGTGAAGTAATCTGTCTCTATACATTCACATTCATTTTTAGTTGCCTGCAGGAATCTGAAGGTGAATCTCATTTGTTACCTAATGAAAGTAATTTCACCAGATACAACACAAGCACTCTGAAAAACCACCATTACTCACACATAAAGTGTAAGCAAAGCAGCATTTCTTAGGTTGCTTAATTAGGGTCCATATCTGAACACTCAGCATTCACCACACAAGCCTCAATCTCCCTGGTTGGCTACAGTACCTTCCCAGCTGATTTGCTCCAAGTCTCAAAGAGCAGTATGACCTCCTCTTTCATTATCCAGATCACTCTTACTTATTATTCTTTTAAACTGAAGTGATTCCCAAGAGTAGGGTGACTGCACACCTCCTCCAGAGCCCGAGACCTACCTCCCCTTTTTCAAAACAGAAGTGGACCGCTCATTTCTTTATTAAACTGCACACATTTTAAATAAAAGACATACAATGACCAACCAGTCAACCTCAGCAGGCATTCAAAAAGTGATCGACCGATACCTATTTAATATCCAAGTTTATATATACAATTACGGAGAATACATACATACACACAACAAGCACTTCAAAATATCTACAAAGAGGTGATTCTACCTAAGAAATTAAATTATTCTGGTACAAAATACTGCAAATTATAGGTATCAATAACAGGTACACCAAAGGAAGGTGGAGGCGCAATATTTGAAGACTGAATGCATTGGAAGAATTTAATGACCAAATCACAATGACATGATAATCCAGAGTTCTGAAGAAACAAGCCACACAGTTCTATTAAGTCTACTAAAACACTGCAGTGCAATTACAGGAGAATAAAAAATTACCAACTGGTACTGAAACAACTACAGGCCTATCACCCTGACTTCAACAGAAGGCAAGAGGTTTTGAACCATAAACAATGCGGAGCACAGGTTAAGACGCAGAATCAAGTCATTAGAAGTACCATGCTAACCTGAAAACTCATCTCTACCTAATGAAAATATCGCAGGTCTAACCTGGACTTCGGTAAAGCATGTGATGATGTGCCATGTGTTAGTGAGATCGGAAAAAAACAGACAAGATTTATACAGTTAATGAAAAAGCAAGCGCTCTTTACCCAGTAATATACCACATTTAAAGAGAAAATAGTGGCAGAGGGCAGAGTTTTTCAAGTTTTTAATAGTGGTGGTTATCAAAACCCAAGCCGTAAGGGAGTCGCTCCGCTTCGCACAAGGGAAGCGCGGGCCGGTCGTGTGAAGGGAGCCCAGCGCACGCAAAGGTCGGGGAGAGGTTTGCCGGTGGAAGAGGAGAGGCCATGCTCTCGGAAGGGCACGGCGAACACCGCCGGGAAAGCTCCTGCAGCGGCCGGGCTGCCCGGCGGCCCCGGGGCGCCGCTTCTCCGTCACCTTCACCGCGGGGCCGCCACTGCGGAGCTCCGGGCGGGCCGGGAGAGCTCTCGGCGCCGGCACTGAGCCCGGCTGCCCCGGCGGAGGTCAGCCCCGGAGCCGCGGAGCTACTCGCTCTGGTTTTCAGCCGCGCTTGTATCACCCCGGGTACAAACACCACGCACCAGACCGGCCGGGGCAGCGCCATCGGCAAACTGACGTGGCTTCGGCGCGGCACAGCCCCCGGTGCGCGTGTCCCGGCGGAGCGCTGCCCAAAGCAGGGGCTCTTTCTCAGCTCCGCGGCCCCGGCGGCTCTGCCCCACGCCGGGACGGTCCGGCTCCGACCGCGGCTCCCCGCCACCCCCGGCCCCCAGCGGCGTTTGCTCCGCAGCTTCCCCGAGCAGCAAGGCGAGGGAAACCTACCTGCCGGACCGCCCAGGGCATCCTCGCTCTCCAAAACGCCTCTGTGCTTCGCCCCGCGGAGCTCCCCCTTGGATTTCCAAACGAGCTTTACCATCTTGATCATCTCGGGCAAGTCCCAGGCCAGGGTCCCCTGCTGATAACCGGGCAGGCTGCCCATGGGAAAGGGCATCGGCTCTTCCCCCGTCCTCCTTCGCCTGCCCGGCTCTGCCGCGGGGAAGAAGCGCTCCAGTACCGGCATCCTGGCTCGCGCCCCGTGCCGGGGAGCCGCAGCCACCCCCCGGCCCGAGCAGCCGCGATGGGCATCCAGAGCGGGGCGAGGGCGCCCGGCTGCCCACCGCCGCCGTCCCTCACCAGGGGCGCGCTCGGCCCCGGCCCCGCGGAAGGAAGGAGCTCCGGGCTCCGGCGGCCGCGCTCGGCTCCCGCCGCTGCGCGCCCTCAGCCCGCCGCCAGGCGCCTGCAGCCGGGGCCAAGCGGCTGCCGGGCAGGCGCGGGGCCGCCGCTCATGCCGGCGCGGCGCCGGGACCCGGGGGCGGGGGCTCGGGCCGCTGCTGCGGGCGGCACCCGGGGCGGCCGCAGCTCACACCCCGCTAAGCGCCACGGCCGAGGCACTTTGACTTTATCCCTGCCGAGATGCCATGGGGGAGCCCCCTCCGCCCCGCCTTCCTCCTCGCCCAGCTGGCTGCGGAGCCGGTGGGGGTTTTGGCCTCTTAGTCAAAGCCCGCCGTCACCTCGGCTGCCCTTGGGCGGGAGGAAGGGCGGTGATTCACGGGACGCGGCGAGAGCCGGGAGCGGAGCAGGAGCGCGCTGGCGGCGTGCGGTGCCCCCGCCTGCCCCGCTCTCGGACGCCAGCCCGACCCGGCACGCAGAGGGGCAGCGGAGGTGCCGGCGCCTGAGGGGTCAGAAAGCAGGGAGCTGCTGAAAGGACGGGTTTAGGGTTTAGGGTTTAGGAAAGGGCGTGGGGTCTGCCCCGAGCCCGCGGTCACTTGGGCTGTAAAGCTGCACCTGAACGGGTTCACGTTAGGACAGAGCCTGGTGGCAGCGGTCGCTCCCGGACTACGATGAGGAGGCAATTATTCATCGCTAATCTTTAAAAACAATTCAAAGCCGCCCGGCAGAGTGCTCTGTCTCATGCAGCAGTAGAGGTGGCGTGCTGGGGCTGCGCAGCTGTCAGCGAGAGCTTCCCCGGACTTGTGGGCTGCCTTCGGCCAGACCCCATAGCAGCGCCCGGCCCTTCCCTGGCATCCTGGCGCCGGAGGGGCCATGCGATTTTCAAAACATTTATATTGCCTTTATACAATATATGCCCTTTAGCCTGCTCGTGGTACTGGTCTGTCCCTTAGATTACGGAGCGTACAGCGGAGGGCGGAGGTTGAACTCTTGCATCAGCACTTAGTTTTCAGTAAAATTGCAGAAGACTTATTTAATGGGATTTTAGTGGGCTTTATAACATTTTCTAGCGTGCATAGTTAATACGTTTGTCTTCTCTGGGTTACATTCAGTGTTCTGCCTTCTCTCCAGATGGAAAAGTAAACCGCCAAACAAGCAGGATCTCCCTTCACACAGGAAGAGAAGCCAAGAGAATAGACTGAAACTTAACACCCTTACATGTAGAAAACAGAGTGCACAAGTCTTTCCTCCTCATATTAACATCATGCTGTTTCCCTGTTACAGGATTTCTGCCCCGCTTATCTTGATGTCTCAACCTCAAAGTGCCAGCTCTAATGGTTTGCTAAAGTTTTGATTCAGACTGTAGTGCCATACTATTAGCCCTCTACACTTGGTAGCTTTGCCTTGAAAATTACGAAGCACTTCCAAAGTAGTGTAGTATTGTTTTTGTGCTGATATTTTGCACTCTTTTGTATCAGGATATCCTGACTCATTGAACAAAGGAGTTAAGAACAAAGAAATAGATGATGTGCAGTACAGTAGCTCAAGCATTGACACATTTGTACAATCTGTGGTTATCATTTTCTAGAAAGGCAAATTTAATTTGTTTTATTTTCATCTAGCTTACTGTGATATTTTAGGTGTTTCATATTCATGTGTCTCGTGCAATTACTCTTTAAAGCACTGTTCCTATCAAAATGGGATAAACTAGGCAACTGAAATCCAGAAGACTTTGAGGACGCTGTCTACTGCATGGTTTAAACCTTACACCCCAACTACTTCATTTTGGCTTTGTGCAACAAGGAGTTGCAGTAGCTTTTTTTCAGTTACTGTTTTTCCTCTTTGTTTACCTCTGTGCTTTGTGGTCCCCACTGAGGCAAAGAGCAGAAGTGCCAGAGCACTCTGAAAGAAAGGCTATCCTTGTGCCATTTCCAGCTTCACTGGATGCAAAAAGTGATCAAGAAGTAACTGAAAGTGGCACTTAGCGCTAAGGTTTAGCTGACAAAGTGATGTACTGCCAAAGGTTGGATGCAATGGTCATGGAGATCTTTCCCAACCATAATGATTCTGTGATAAAAGGTACCAGACATTGTGGAAGGCAATGTATTCACAGATGTCCAGACTAATTTTTAGATTAATACCTGAATATTTAAGTGCTTAACAGAACTTAGACAGCCCTCTTGATAGCAGCAATAAAAGATTTCTAAACCTATACTACCTTCTTGTGTCCTTAAAACTGTGAAAGTCTTTGTATCATTTGTGGCTGGGTCACTTGGGTAGGTACCTGTTTTTTGGATAGGATCAGGATTAATTGTTGTATTTGTTTTCACTTACAGTTCTACAGGTGCAAAGGAGGAGGCCAGTCCAAAACCAAACTGAAATACATCTATTGTTATAGTATCAGTATTTCAAGAAGCTATGTAGTAAACCTAATGAAATGTACTTTTTCTCTTGTAAGATTACTGTCAAATGAAAACAACTGTTTTTAGATAGCCTGGAGTTTTTGTTTTCTTTCTGATTTCTGGACAGTTTAAGGATCAGCAGTTGTGAATGAAAAAAAGTATGTTAAAATTGTTGCTTGGCATTAATAGGTATGTCTGTAAAGTAATTCATCTTATTCTTAATAAACTAATGCTTCACAGTTGTACTCCAATTCAGTGATTACTTATCCTTAATTCATTCAAGATTTTGCTGTAACTGACTTTCTTTTTTGACTTTTTCATTATAAGAATGGTGCCACATAAACTGCTCACAGGAAAGCCTGGGAGATCTATACTTGAATATAAGGAGTTCTAGCACCAATCTCTACATCACTCTCAGAGATCTCTAATTGACAAAATGCTCAGATTTTGCAAGTTCTCTGCTTCTCTGTCTTCAGCTGTGCTGTGATGATTTATCCAACTTGAAGATGTGACCTTAACATCATGCTTTTCAGTTAAGAAAATCCATCAGAAATAAAACATACTCCTACACAGCAATGTACCCAGCCATTTGTAACTGCATTTTGAATGGTCCTTCAGCAAGCTCAACTCACCTAAAATTTCTCTTTTGTATTCACACTTCCAGCCATATTTGAAGGAAACGCTTTAGCAGAGATAGATGGCTTTATTTCTACCAACTGCATTTCTCTCTCACTCCGACTTAAAGAAGCTTAAGTGATTACAAGAGAAATATAAATGTATTAACTCTGTCCCTCATTCATTCTGAGAACCAATGCCAAAAAAAAGGCAAATGGAGTCATCTGAAAACATGACAAGGCAGTGCATAGTTTCACAGGTAGACATGAGAACTGGAAAAGACTTGAGGAAAGGAATACTGTGATGTGAGAAAAGGGAAGAGAGTAAGCTGAAAGATTAATAGCTGGTGTCTCTTAAAAAGTTTTACTTGTTTGCTTATTCACTCTGAAGTTATGTACTAAGAGCAGCAGCCGCAGAATTGCATGCCAGATGGTAGAGGAAGTGCCTCGTGTATCTTTCCAGTCTACTGAAGCCTGCAGGGTTCTTGTTAACCCACTGCTCTGGTTTTCATTGCAATTCCTTTCTTCCCCTTTTTGCTTTTCCTTCCTTCAAAGAAAAAGGAGGGAGGGGGGAAGAAAAAAAAAGAAAAAAAGAGAGAAAAGCCATAGTTTAAACTGTCAGTAGCACCATCCTTTTGGCTTTGAGCTACCCTGTCTTTTGCCAAATATACTGTCTCCAGCAGCTCTCCCACAACAAATCAGTCCAGACACACAAAAGCTGTAAAAAAAGAATGGTGAAGAAAGATCCTTGATTCTCTTCTTCTGCCCCCGCCACAGCCTTTTCCTTTTGCTTCCTTCCTCAAGCTTCATTCCCCAGCAGTGGTCTCCTTGCCAGTACTGTAAGTGATACTGGAACCTCCAGCCTGCAGCTTTGCTGACAGCTTCCTTAGAGTACAGGCGCCTTTGCCTTTCTGTATTAACAGGCCATTGTAAAGCAGGAGTTATATTCTATTATTCTTCCCACTTCCATCTGATAGCTGATTTTGAAAAAATGTCTCATAAATTATTAGCATGGCAGAGTCATTACTTTTGGAAACTTTTCCTATTATTTCAGCTAACCCACACCGCTGCCTTGTGTCAGAACTTGCATTTCCAAACAGACACCTAAAAAGATTTTATATAGTCTGTTTTTACAGTATATTATTAAAAAAAAATTGGAAACATACTGCCAGTTTTTTAAGTGATTCACAAACATTAAGAAGTTTAAATGTAGAGACCAGTTTCAAAGACTATCAGATACTGATTTTTAGAAAGTGTAAAGCATGTGTCTTTAGATGGCTCTTATTTGTGAAATCATCAGTAGTTGCTTATGAAAAGTATGCCTTTGTCTCTGTCCCAGGGACCGTAGTCACGCAGAGACCACAGGTGAGGCCATTGCCTAGGGTCAGAACCAGGAGATGACACCATCACCAGAATCAAATTTTAGGAGGTTTCAGACAGGGTGAGTTTAATGTAGAAGAGAAGACTGCAAGTGCTGGGGCATAGTCCCTACAAAGAAAGTAACAAAATAAAAAAATTTTAAAAAATGGTGCACATTTACAGGACAGAGTAATCAAAGCAACAGGGAAAACAAGAATGCAAATGAGTAACTTTTAAAATGGACAGAGTGCCTAAGAAAGTTGAAGAATATGACAGAAGAAACATAAGCAGGCATATTTATGCAGAATTTTTTCTAATAACCTCCTGGAAGGTTTCTTTCATCACTTTAAAAATCACAGTATAATTTTCTTATTCTTTGCCCCACATTTGTCTCATTCCAGATGTCTGTTATTTTTATGTCATTCTTACTAGTAAGAACAATTACTCTTAGTTATTGCTATCATTGCCATTACTTCATTAAATATGAAAACAATTATATTTATTTGAGGACAGTTGCTATGTCTTTGCTCTTAAGTGGACATATAAAATTCTCTAAGTTCTAT